TGTAATTTCAATCACTAACTGCCTTTACTACAAGCAAAATATTCCTGAAAGTTTGGCAAATACATTTTCTTTGGATGCTACGTTTTTGTTGCCATGAATTTAAGCCAATAAGATCTATACTGAAAATAATTACTCTGTTTTGATTGTATACTCATTTGAAATCTCTCATAATGAGTCAGTATTAATATCGGTACAAATTTTAGTGACATTTGTGTTGTCACAGTTTTTACATTTATTGTAAAAAGCAAAGAGATGTTTTGAGAGGGGTCTATATTTAAAATGTTGACTATTTAACATTGTTCATTTACGGATACACTTTTATTCTCTATCCGTATAAATAACCGAAGGACGTTTAAAAAAATAAACACCTGCACTAATTGTTAAGGTTGACAAGATAGGGAAAGTACGGAAACGTATAGTGACCACCCCTATATGATATATATCAAATGACATTTTTTATAGTTTTATAATATGTTTGTAATAAGTAAATATGATTTGAGGAAAGAAATACATATTTAAAAAGATGTAAGTGTATTAGTTTTTCATTTTGTCAGCAAGTTAAAAGTAGTTAATCTTGCATTATAAGATAAAAAACGTACGATAGATTACGAAAAAATACGTATTATATATGATTTACAACATAACTTGATTTAATTGCTTCCTTTGTATATTGCGTGGGATTTTTCTGTCCTCATTATCAAATATAAACTTTAAATGTAATAAAAAACCTCAAAAATATATACTTAATACATATAAATGAACAGAAAAAAACTCACATAAATTTTAATTGAGCAATATTAACAGCAGATTGAGTAAAAAATATACATTCAATATAAAATAACAATAGAAATATTGGTCAAATATATATCATGTGTTAAATAAATTGTCTAAAATTCTGTTTTACTAACATTCAAAGGCGGTAGATATTACTAGATACATATTTCAGATCAAGTTAGTTTGTAAAAATTGGTTAGGTATATAATATGTATTAAATAAATTGTCAAAAAATCTGTTTTAACTAACATATAGAGGTGGTCGCTATACGTTTCCGTAGGAAAGACATATGTCAGAATACTGTATATTTATTGTTTAAGTTTAATCACGGGTCCATAAATTTGAATTGTAATAAACTTTATCGTAACAAGCACAACATAAATACATGTATCTATAAGCAATTGATATCATTTATAAACAATAATTCTTACCTGATCCTATTAGATATACCGAAACAAAAATAAATGTACAGGAATTCCATGTCTATGTCATAATTATATAGATATAATTTAAAAAAAATACAAATGAAGTCATGCTAATTCGAGAGTGAAAGATAAAGCTTAGGCCTATTTCTGTTTTGAAAAAAAAAATAGAAATGTTTCTATCTAGTAGGATCTAAGTATTTTGTGATGTCAATCATAATAAACTCCGCCAACTAGATTTACAAGGAAGTTAATAACTATTGATTTTTTAAATCTATATTAAGAATATAAACTAAGTTACAATTGTGCACCGTTTTCTTTTATGTCTGTTTTTTTTTCTAAATGGGTTAGGTACGGTTTCATCATTGTTTGATTATTTTTGAGTATCGGAATAAACATTTACAAGCAACAGGGCTGATAGTTGATTAGGTAAGTTTTTGATAAACATCTGATAACGTACCTGCATATAGAAACTACGGAAACGTATAGCGACCACCCCTATATGTTAGTTAAAACCGAATTTTTGACAATTTATTTATTACATATTATATACCTAACCAATTTTTACAAACTTACTTGATCTGAAATATGTATCTAGTAATATCTATCGCCTCTGAATGATAGTAAAACAGAATTTTAGACAATTTATTTAACATATGATATCTATTTGACCAATATTTTAATTGTTATTTGATATTGAATATATATTTTTTACTCAATCTGCTGTTAATATTTCTGAATTAAAATTTATGTGAGTTTTTTTTCTGTTCATTTATATGTATTAGTTATATATATTTTGAGGTGTTTTTATTATAATATAACATATTTTACAGTTTATATTTGATAATGAGGACAGAACAATCCCACGCAATATATAAAGGAAGCAATTTAAACAAGTTATGTTGTAAATCATATATAATACGTATTTTTTCGTAATCTATCGTACGTTTTTTATCTTATAATGCAAGATAAACTGCTTTTAACTTTCTGACATAATGAAAAAATAATACACTTACATCTTTTTAAATATGTATTTCTTTCCTCAAATCATATTTACATATAACAAACATACTATTATACTATAAAAAATGTCATTTGATATATATCATATAGGGGTGGTCGCTATACGTTTCAGTAGAATCAGTTTTAAGATGCATAAATTCGTAAAGTGCCATGTGACATGTAAAGCTGAATTTATTACTTCTATTACCATATTCAAAAGGAAATTGCTTGTGGGTCTGTTATTTTGCTTATTTTGTAGCATTCTAGCTAGGTTATATGATATAGGCGGATTATACATTCTTATTCAGTCTTATTCTAGCTTATATATTACTTATTGTTCATATTTAACACGAGGCGTTTTTGTTTTTCCTTCGCTATGTTTCATTTGCCGCTGGATTTGGTTATTGCTCAAATGCTTTCACAATTACTTGTATTTTAACTTGTATATATTTGACAGTGTGAATTCGATATAACATAACCAAGTACGGTTAACTTATCATAAATATGATTACGTTAAATAAAATTATTTAAATAGTGCTTACTTAACTGTAATAATTGATAGTAAAATTACTCGGGTATTTCCCAATTGAAATAGTACTTCTTTTTTAACAGGATGTTGAATAAATAGATCAGTAACATTATTTGTAAAACAAAACTAACGTAAATATGGTAACGTTAAATAAAGTGATTTAAAAAGTGCTAACTTAACTTTAATAATTCATAGTAAAATTACTAGGGTATTTTTAAATTGAAATAGGACACCGTTTTAAACAGGGTGCTAAATAAATAGATCAATAACGTTATTTGTAAAACAAAAGTAGCATTTTGGCACCGCAACAAGTCAATACAATTGAACAATGACTAAACTACTAACTGATATGTTTGAAAGATCAGGTTTAATATTGTCATTTGTTTAGGATTATCACCAATGAAAACTGCGTCTAAAGGTGGGAATCTTAGTATAATGAAGCAGAACTAGTGCATAATACGTTAGCATAGCATACATAATTAAGCACACACAATTAGAAATAATGATCTCTAGTTGTTATCTACGTTTGTTTTTATTGAACAAAAAACTAAACTTTGAAACAATTTTAAAGTATTTACCTAACACTTGGGGTAAGGAGATCATTTTTAGCATTGTGACGGCCTCTTTTTATTTGATGGTACTTTCAAGGGCATTTAAAGACCTCGAATTTAATTTTGAAATGAACTTGATTGTTTCATTGGTCATTAGTTGTTTTAAGGTTTTATAGAAAGCATAAATACCAAAGGGTTGAGCGTATAGCGCTACGATACTTCTTTAATAAGAATCGACTTTGTAATATAACTATTTCATGTATACCGGTATCATGCTTATATCATGTCGTTGATGTTAGCATATACATTTTATATGCATCACATACTAGATATGTTATGATGGATAAGAATTGACTTTTTAATAGACCTATTTTATGTAAACCATGCTATATCATGTCATTGATGTTATGTAACTGCTGATTGTATTATTACAGTGTACTGATGGGAATATTGCCTTTGTATGAATAAAGTTTATTTAAGCGAGGTGAAATAATGCGATACGGAATACAGTAAACTTCATTTATAGCGAACACGGTTATAGCGAACTTCCGGTTATAAGGAACAATTTATTTTGGTCCGAATTTTGCCCTTCTTTATTTAATATAAAAATATATGGTAACAGCGAACACGGTTATAAGGAACTCATTTCTAAGTACCAATTTAGTTAAAAGTACAGAAAATTTCCCTTTTATAACGAACTCCAAAATATCGTCTCGCATTTTCAACTTTTGTTTTCATTGGCACGAATTAAAACTCGGCCGAATGTACCGTTTATTGTTGTACATCTATCAAAATGAATTGTAAAGCAGTATGTAATAGTTTTCTATTTAGGATATTTTTAGTCCGAGTTCTTGTCAACAAGATGAAACGGTTAATGGAATTTTAACTTGCAAGTCTTGATCTATAGATAAATTAAATAATGAACAAAGTTAAAAAAAAGATAAATGAAAAAATAAAAAAGCGAATAAAACAAAAGCCAAATGTGTTATTTACTATAATTGTAGATGGGCAGCATTTGTTGTAAATGTAAGAAGATCAAGAACAATGATGCATCCACAGAAAATATTGGACATGGATCCAATGCTCAAAATCAACATAATGATCCAAATGGACACAATGGTCAAAATGGGCACAATAGTCAAAATGGACACAATGGTCAAAATGGACACAGTGGTCGACATGGACACAGTGGTCGACATGGACACAGTGGTCGACATGGACGGAATGCTCAATATGGTCATACAGAACTGAGAGGTCAGACTAATAGGTGAACTCGCAGTGAACAAACAAAAATAGAACCTAATAATAAAATACTGTATTAAAGTATCTATCATAACTACTTTGGAATAATGTATGATTTCTTGTCTTACTTAGCCCAAACTTCTTATTAACATTCTTTTGCGTCTTCCGTAATCTTTACAAGCTTTATATTAAAACTCACTTTCTAGGATCACTTTAATGTAATGGTTTGCTATTTAAAGAACATTTAGTTCCTCCCTGAAGTATTCAAAATGTCAGCCTTCTGAACAAAATCATAGTACTCCTCAGTAAATTTGGTTCATAAAAGTATCTTTCCTATACAACATTCTTAAGTTACTGTCTAAAATAATCAAGCGATGTAAACTTAAGCTAGATATCTTGTATGGTATACTGGTATACGTTTTAAATTTTAAAGATATATTAAAAAAATAATCTAAAATTTTGTATCTTCTCATTAGATGAAGGCATTGATGGAGCTCATGTCGGTTCAGAAAACTCATCGAGATGGGCAAATACTACTACGTCAAGCAATCAACATAGTGAACCGGACAGTCTTTTCAAATGCAAGTGGAGACTTGGGAATAATGGCATATTCTTAACCGACAAAATTACAAAAGCACCTGATCAAAAAAGAGAATATAACAATGGTAAGGAGTACACCACTTTTGTAAATTAGATTTCGTTTTTACTGTGTTAACGTTTTTCTTACAGTACTCAGAAAACCCGAGGACAAGTGCGCATGATCAACATCATTTTGGTTTTACCTATCCCTTATTGTTGTATGCATGATAATGCATTGTTTTCTTACAATTTGAACTAAACCTGAGAAGATCTGGTTTCTCTTCCTTTCTAAAAAATAGACTGAAGAAGCCAAAAAAATGCATAAAATCTTGTCATAGAATTTTCATTTTCAAATTTGATACGAGACAAACATTATTTGAACTTTTTGTTATGTCAATAAGTTTTAGTTCCTTCCTGGCAAGAGCATGATTTATTCTTGCTTAAAGAGTCTTTAAGGGTTTACATACTCTTAAAAAAGTAATAAAAAAGGCTTTTCTTGTCAGAAATTGCAAGCGGTGGTGTTCATGATGAGCTACATGACCTGGTTGATCACTGCCGAATCTGGACTAAAATTATAAACCTGACCTTATCCCAAGGTCGCTTGATTTGCTAATCAAAGTAGATAAGATAAACAGCTCTATAACAAAATCTGCACCAATGCAAATTTCTAAAACTGGAATCATTTTTACCGATCGGAATGAACTAAATTCAGTGAATTCCAAGTATTTGATTAGAATAACTGCAAAGCTGTGACCGCAACTTTTTCAGGAAAAATTTAGGATATAGACATTTAACAAACGGCGTGGTGTTTCGAATGTCACAATAAGGAAATGTAGTGATTTTTATGTCTTGTTTCATTCTCTTAGATATTGGAAATCGTAGACAAATATTTAAAAGTAACTACACTCCTATCACTCCGTCTGTTGGACCCAAGCGATGCTCAATGCCTGCAGGAAACTTTATTGATTGCAGAGGAGATAGTAACGGCAGACGATTCATATATATTATCAAAGAGTGGGAAGAGTGGTCGCACAGTGTTTGTCAAATACGGTTTCCCCCGAACGGCACGGCAACAGGATTTAGAGTTGGCTCAAGATATATAATGACTGCTCGTCACGTCGTGTCTACAATCCACCAGAATATTCAAGGTATTTTTTTCTTCTTTATGTATAGTTGATATAAAATTAATTTGTATTGCCCAGCAATTTTGTCCAGACACTCTGCATTAAGAATATTACCCTATAGTCGGTAAATTCCATAAAATTATTATCTACTTGCAAGTCGATATGAATGTAGATATCCAATTCAAGGTGCAGTACGTGAAGTGCTTGCACACTTGGTTCAAGCGAGAAAATCGGTTGCAAACTTGACAAAATGGCTGCCGAGTCATGAATATTTACAACACTCGCAAGTATTTTCCTAAGGTAAGTGGGTTGTTTTTGTATGCTATTTTGAATTTCTTTAATGTGCCACTTCCTTAAAGCAATGATAATATCACTCGAATTAAGGTCTCAGCTTCAAAACTTCTGATATTACGAAGTAATTGACAATATATCTTCAATAACTTCGTAATATTAGAAGTTTTGAAGCTGAGACCTAAAACCGAGTGTACCTTTATCATTGCTTTAAGGTAGGAATATTAAAGAATTTCAGAATAACATACAAACCCACTTACCTGATGAAAATACGTGCGGGTGTTGTAAATATTCATGACTCGGTAGCCATTTTGTCAAGTTGCAACCAATTTTATCGCTTGAAGTAAGTGTGCCTACACAACAAACAAACACATTTTCTTTTTATTTTATGCTTAAAAACAAGTTAAAACGAAATTTCCATAATATTAACGTTAATATCAAAATCTATTTTCCCCATTGAGAGCCCCATTTAGTCGGAATTTCTCATTTAATTCAAGAAGTTTTAGCTGAAAAATTAGTTCGACAATCAACGTTTAATGACGGTGATATAATTCATTTAATTAAAAAATATGAATGATGGCTTGTTTTAATAAAAAAACAATATTTGTAGGAGAAAAAGTTCAGCCATCCATCCATATTTCCGTTACTTACTGCGAATTTATATTAGACCTGGCTTTGTTAAATGTAAATGTTAAATGTAAGCGGCAGCCATTTTTTAAAGTTGTGTATTTCACGGGAGGAAAATAAGTGTGTTTGATTCAGAGGGATAACATTTGGATTTGTTAGTCATACACATTTTAAAAAGAAAGAATTTTTTTTTGAGGATTGTATCAGACAAAAAATAAGTGTTGACGGATGTGAACTTATTCAAAAAGCAGCAAGGGAAATGGAAAACTTCAAAGGCTGGCTCAGGAACGCTGGGTTGTTTACTTATTCTACGGGGATGGCTGTCATTGCTTTTCAAGTTTTCATAAAGCATACGGCAGTTATTGCTCGTAGGATACTTAAATTTGCCCAAATGTCATCAAGAGCAGTTTTGCATGTGGAGGGAATGTATTTTTCAGACTGTAAAAATGAAACAAAAAAAAATAGAGAAGAAATTTGGTGATTGGAATTTGAATGAATAGAAGTAAGTTTTCTTCTGTTTATTACTTTAAGTTATTTATCAATTTCAGCTTTGCTTTTCTTTAAACAGCCTGTCACTGTCAGAATTGTCAGGAAATTAAAATTGAGGTACCACATGGGGAAAAATCTTAAAAAAGTAGTTTCGTCATTGAAAAGTGGGAAATTATATTTTGATGATTTTCACTGTAAAGTATCAAATATAATTTTCACGGATAAATCAGTAATCCACTGAAAAGCATAAAATAAATCGATATATTCGTTAGATACAATGTACTACTGTGCCAGTGTTTATCCAAGTGAATGAAGTGCCAGGTCAATATTGTTGGACAATAACGTTAGAAATATTTGATGAATTTGTTACTAAGTCGGTCGATGCTGACCTTGTCTTTTCCAAATGTAAACTTAATCTTAATTCATCTAACTAAGAAACTATGTGAATATGCATGCGCATTTATAAGCCTGACAAGTGAGTATTCTATTATATGCATAAAAATCATGTCATAGAATTTTCATTTTCAAATTTGATACGAGACAAACATTATTTGAACTTTTTGTTACGTCAATTAGTTTTAGTTCGATCCTGGCATATGACATATTTTAATTTTATATTTTCTTATTCATTTTTGTATTAAAGGATCAAGAGAACATACTGACGACTCTGGAAACCTGGTTGTAGAATCATTGACACGCCGGAACGTATTTTGCTTGTTTAATTATTACAAAGAAGATCCGTTTGCAAACAATTGCTTAAAATTCTTTTTCAAAGCTGTTGTTAAATTCCTTGACGAAAATACAGATACCGTTGTTATAGAACTAGCAGATGATCCCGAAGGTAACCAAATGCCTCCACCATTTGAGTTATTCAGTGACCAAAGGTTAGTATCTGAATTCACTCTGATTGGACATAATGGCGGTGCTATGGAATACAATCCAGTGGATCAAGTTATTGACAGAGACAGTACAACCACATTCAGTGATATTCAATGGGTTAAAAATCATAGTTTACAACAATCCCGTCTAATTTACGAATTTCCACCACACAGCGTGTTATTAAACAAGCAAAGAATTTTGTTTCATTGTAGATTTAGCAAAGGGGCATCTGGAACACCAGGTATAATTGTTCAAGAAGATGGTCGCGCGGTTGTGGTGACAATGCTGTTATGTGGATACCCCGACTGGTATTATGATATGAGGGTGGAGGAAAGCATTCGGTCTGATTGGCCACGAGAGTACTGTATAGAACAAGGTGCAGATATGATTTCTGTTGGTAAAAATATGGCTGCTCGTAATCCTAATCTCTATCAAGATATATTTTGCAGGCATTTACCTGACCCACTGTTATGATATACAAATATAGTGATGAGATTGTTTTATGTTTATCTTTTGCATCAAAAGATCATCAATTAAGGCCTACACCACATTAAGAAGAAGTAAAAAGAAAGGTAGGAGATATCTGATAATTTAATTGAGTCAAGATAAAATAACCGTGATAATGTTGTAATAATTATTGGTGTAACTGTTTTTATATCATATCACATATACATACATGTATATTTAGCCACATGATTATAATTATGTACATGCCAAACTTGTTTTAAGAAAATGCAAACTACATGTATATAAATATCAAATAACAAATCTAATTATTAATAGCGTATCATAAATTATGATGGTAGTAAAGTAACTGCGATATTCCAAGGACTTTTTATTCAATTAAAACTATTGTTGTTCTATATAACTACAAAAGTATTTGATCAATCACGATACCTTTAGAAAGATATTTTGCGTCGCATTTGCGAATTATTGACGGTCCTTTTCCGACAGCAATAACATGTTGTTTTTGTATTTATTATCAGAATTCCATAAAAAGTTTGCATAGTAATATTATCTCCTGCCTTTCCATGAAATTGTTGTAAACCTGGAACTAATATCTACATTAATCACACACCCGCGCCGATTTTGCGACTCCGTAAATTATATTGCCGTGCATATTTTTTGACGTGACGTCATTAGCGTTATTCAAACATATTGTAAAGACGCGATAAATGTTAGCGTTGTACTACAGGCGCGTCAATGAAAATAGACTCTTATTTCACTTTAAACGGTCTTTATTTTGGGTATGTGATAAATAAAATATTAAATTGGTGTAAGTTCATTTCTGAATTCATTGCACTCTTTGAATAAAATAATATTATGCTCGCCAGAGGCTCGCATAATATAATTTTATAAAACTCGTGCAATAAATTTAGTATTGAACTTACACTCATTCAATATCCTCTATTTATCACATAAACCGCGGCGCAAGAGTGTAACAAAGCCATTTTATAAAAACGATATTACACTAATTTATTTTATGCTTTTCATTGGATTACTGTTTAAGTCGTGAAAAATATATTTGATTATTTCACAGTGAAAATTACATGTATCGAAATATAGTTTCACACTTTTCAATAACAAAACTACTTTCTTAAGATTTTCCCAATGTGGTACCTCAATTTTATTTTTGCTGACAATGTCAGGCTGTTCAGAAAAAAAGCAAAGCTGAAATTTATAAATAACTTAAATGTCAAAAGTTATAAAAAGAGGAAAACTTACTTCTATTTATTCAAATCACCAATCACCAAATATCGTCTCTTATTTTTTTTTTCATTTTTACAGTCACCTTCCACATGCATAACTGCTCTTGATGACATTTTGGCATATTTAAGTATCCCACGAGAATTAACTGCCGTATGCTTTATAAAAACGTGAAAAGCAATGACAGACATCAGCCCCAAGAAATAGTAAACAACCCAGAGATCGTTAGGCAGCCTTTCAACTTTCCAAGTTTTCCAATTTCCTAACCGCTTTTTGAATGTTTACACTTCAGTCAACACTTATATATTGTCTGTTACAATCCTCAAATAAGTTTTCTTTCTTTTAAAAAGGTGTATGACTAACTAATCCAAATGGTTTTCTTCTGAGTCAAATACAATTATTTTCCTTTCGTGACATACACAACTTTTAAAAATGGCGACCGCTTACATTTAACAAAGCCAGGTCTAATATAAATTCGCAGTAAGTAACAAAAATATGGATGGATGGTTTGACTTTTTCTCCTAATAAAATTGTTTGTTTTTATTATTTAAAAAAGCGATCATTCATATTTTTTAATAAAATGAATAATATTATCGCCATTAAACGTGGATTGTCGAACTTATTTTTCAGTCCAATAATTCTTGTATTTTATGAGAAATTCGACTAATACATGTACATAATAGAAGCTACCAGTCAGTAAAACAAATTTTAATATTAAAGTTATTATCAAGGAAATTTCGTTTTAACTTGTTTTTAAAGCATAAAGTAAAAAGAAAATTTGTTTGTTTGTTGTGTAAGATGTAATTTTATTTCATCTCGTGAACTTTGTGGCTACACCACTCGTGAGAATACTGTTTTTAAAGCCCACTCGATGAAATAAAATTTCATCTTACACACAAACAAACAAATATCCTCTATGTAATGACACTTTGACGTGACGTCATTTGCGCTATATATAAGGGTTACACTATTAGATAGGCGCGTCAATGTAAAACGTTTACTATTGCCGGCTCGCCACGGCGAGCCGGTATTACGATAGGATTTTACTGAGAAACAACCTAAAACTCCGAAGCCATCCAAAAATTTAATCGAAGCTTGGCTTCCAGCTTTCTACAAAATTTATCTATCAGGGCTAGGATCCAAAATTATTTAGCCAATCAACTTTGATCTTACATAGCGTCAAAAACATTCAATTTTCACGCCATTTTTAAAAATCAGCAAGTATTGTTTTGAGCGCAAAGATATAATGATGATTAAAATGTTTGTCTTTATGAATTCTTTTCAATAAATCATATTTACACTGACTTCTGATTTAGCGATTTCACCTGTTTTCTCTGTAGTAAGTTTTCGTTTGGTTAATTAACATAAGTGTACATATGGTTCTGTGCATTTTTTATTTTTCCTTTTTTCCGGTCATTTTATCCTTTCCGGTATTTAGTGTATGTATTTACTGGCCGGGATCCGGGACGCCCGGGATCCGGGATCGTATAAGATATGGAGGAAAAACCTAATGAACTATATTTGTGTTGATTGTTTTCGTAATGAAAGGCCATTAAAAGTTATTTTTTTATTGTATATAATGAACGTTAAATTAATTTAACTTAGAATATAGATATATTTAACAAACTTAAAATGCGGAAATCACAATACTTATAATTATATGCCTATTAACAAACTTAAAATGCGGAAATCACAATACTTATAATTATATGCCTAATTAATTGGAAAAATCAAAGACTATTTTCTTGAATTGGTCAAATCCCGGGATCCCTATATGTTTTAAAACGATCCCAGCTTTTCTGAAAACTATATACTTGAACTGGCCAATCCGTGAGATCTATTTACATTTTAATACGATCCCGGCTTTTCTGAAAACTATATTCTTGAACTGGTCAATTCCCGGGATCCCTATATGTTTCAATAGGATTCCGGCTTATCTGAAAAACATCTTCTTAGACTGGTCAATTTCCGGGATCCCTATATTTTTTAATAAGATCCCGGCTTTTCTGGCTTAATTGATTGACAACTTGTGTTTACTTTAGGACTTGTGCCTCTCATTCCAATACTAAATAACATACATGTATTACAACTTAATTTTGTATAAAGAGACATCTTTATGAAATCTACCTATCTAACATTTTGTGGTCAAGGTCAACAGGCCATATAGTAAATGTGCATAGACAAAGGTTTTTCATTCTATCTGTTTACATGCACCTTCATATATACTCATACTCATCTTGGTTAATCTGAGAGATCTTTATCTGTCACTTTCAGTCAATGAGTTTAAGATTTTGAATTTACTGGCCCGAATTCCAGTTTTGAATTTATTCTACTAAATAATTAACAAAATTTTCATAAATTTACACTGGCCTGAACTTATATACACTGGCCATCGGGCACCGGGCCAGTGTTGACTTCACTTTTATTTTGATGTTCGCTGAAGTCTCTTCAGCTAACAGAACTGTCATTTTTACATTTAAACACACCCCTTGAAAAAAATTACGAAGCGAGTCGCTTCTAGCTTTTTTAAAAGCTAACCTTGTCTTATTATCGCATAATATGATTTTATTCAACTCGTAACCTACATTCATTCAGTATCCTCTATAAACTCGCGGTAAAGATATTTATAGAAAAAAAATACAAATAACCCGGATGTTAAACTAGACACAGTTTTTATCCCCCCCCCCCGTCGAAAAGGCGGCGGGGATTATAAAATAGTATCCGTCCGTCCGTCTGTCCTTCGTCCGTCCGTTCTTCCGTTCCACATTTTTGTCCGGAGCTTATCTCAAAAAAGTATTTGAGGTTTCAACTTGAAACATCATAGGTGGATAGAAAATATTGAGGAGGAGTACAGTGCACAAGAATGATAACTGTACCCTGCATAATTTTTCAAGTGTTGCCCTTTGTTATTTTTCATAATTAATTTTTCACCTGAGTGGAGCATACCTCAAAAAGCTTTTGAGATGTCAACATGAAACTTCATAGGTGGAGGAGGAATGCTGTGCGCAAGAATGATAACTTTACCCTTTATAATTTTTGAGTTATTGCCCTTTGTTATTTTTCATACTTTTTGTCCGGAGCTAATCTCAAAAAGTGTTAGAGGTAGTAACTTGAAACTTCATAGGTGGATAGATTTACGGATATCTATTGCTTCAGTTTTCCAACCAAATATCCCTTAAAACTAACTAAAAAACTTCTTTTTGTAATTCAAGCTCTTAATTGGTATATATCCGATAATATATAATTAATAAATATGTCAGTTGAGGCTATTGCTTGTTATCCGAAATCCTGCAAATGTGTGTTTTTTTTTCAAGTTTATCCCTAGGCACAAACTTTTACCGTTAAAGCCCAATTTAAAGGGCATTACCGGTCACAATAGATAAGTCAGCCTGTTGCACTTATCTACGAGTAAAAGTTTGTTTGTACCACCTGCTAAGCTGGTTAAAAACACAAACAAACTAAAAATGGTTCACAAATCTTGAAAAAACGGTACACAAATCTGGAAAAACCGTACACAAATCTTGATAGGGGAGATGATTCTTGAACAATTAAACCAAAATGTGTCGAAAATCGCACTGTAGGTTTAATCTGGATAACTGATAAGTATATGTAATAAAAGTAACCGAGATTTTTTTGAATCTGTTTATCAGATACAATGGTAAGTGCAACATCTCTCACGCCCCTTCCCCTAGCACCGACTGAAGTTGTATACATTCCTTAAGACGTCGATCTAGAAAATGGAGCCAATGACATAAGAATGTGTTAAAATAAAAACACAGAGAACGAGGATAAGATGATTTAAAAGTTCTACAAACATGAACTGATGTTGAAGACCTATGGTATCCACATAATTTGCATCGAGGGCCACAATTATAGTAATCATCCTGAATGTGGTAAACATTTGTACTAGTCGTAATGCTAATTATACTTTCAGGTTTCAGCATGTACTTTAGCAGAAGAATTACCGACTTTCTGTTAGTTAACTAAATAGCTAATCGCTCAGCTAACCAAATTAACTAAAATACTTGAACCAATATAGACTGAACATAATACAAATAACAACCTTTCCCTTTTGTTTTCAAATAAAGTTGAATTTTATAATTGCAAATTTCAGCATACACAACATTTATAAAAATAAAGTAAGATACCGGTACTATATGCCGCCCCCCCCCAAAAAAAAGCGCATTCACCATTCTCATCACCACCATCTACACCACCTCCACCAACACCATCAAAACGATCATCATAACCTTCATCAATATATTATCATTATTTATTATTATTATTATTTAATACCTATGTTACTATATATAGTATCAAAATCTAGGGTATTTCAGGGTCATTTTTTAATCAGTTGGCCATAGTCCTCAATCATGAATTCAGAGTAAAATGTGTTTCGGAATTCGTTACATAATAAATAAAACTTTGATATTATCAATTATTATTTTCTATTTACATTATTCTTCTATATTCTGGACCGCGTTTAATATAAAGTTTAGTCCTAGGATGTAAAACCAACGTTAGGATGAATTCAGGACATTTTCAATAAACATTTTTATATGAAGTGATGAAGACCTAATTAACCCTTTACCTCATATACATGATATATACGCGAAACAACACACTTTCGACCCCCCTCTTTAGGCCTCAAATAGTGAATAAATGTCCTATTTTGGGCCCCAAACACATGCTATCGTTTGATAAATGTTGCTTAAAAAGGAGCACATTTTCGGCGCCGCCCCCATCCAAAAGATACACCAGGGGGTTGCCAGAAGGGGGATGTGCCCCCTTCTATTTGGGAGGTGTGAAGGGGGGCGGTAGTCCCCCTCATAGCCAAAAAAATTTTGGACTTGTGAGAGCGATGTCGATCAAAAGGTAACGTGTAACCAACGCTGGAAAGCCTTTGACTCTATCTCAATCCCTTGAGAAGTTGCAGCACTTTGAAATAAATTTTGATGGAAAAAATCAAGGCAAATTAGTGATTTTTGGCAATTTTGAGATGTCCCCTCGTTGCCATGGTAACAGGAAATTTAAGACTGAGCATGTCGTTACTAAGGCCATGATCCAGTCAACATTTGTGCCAAATTTGATTAGTATTGAAGCATTTTTTCATAGTTTAATAGCAGTTTGAACTTGTAACAGGAGGCTTTTCAATGAAAATGGCCATTTTTCACAATATGCTCATGAGGGAAAGGGTTAAGACTTTAATTAAATGTTTTCTCCTGACAAATAAAGAAATGTGCAAAGACACATGCTTACACAGCGTTATGTTAACGTTCATTTACATTGCTACTCAGAAACTGAAGTAGTTAAAATACAACCGCCATTAAACAGGGCTTTTTCTTTGAAAACGCAGAATTGTCTGTTTTGATATAAAGAGTGATTTCAGTCCTACTACTTTCTACGAGATGCAAACCTGTCTCTTTCAAAATATTTTTTGAACATAAAAAGCAACATCATAATTATTATAAATAATTCTATTTAATACATTTACATGTACTTATATACAATCACCACTAATATCTTTTAATCTTTAAACAATTTATAGGTTAAATTAAAAACAGGGCACTGTATTTATTTGTCTAACATGAAAATTAAAGTTTATCGTTACTTATACATACATTTTATGACCATGAACTTTTGTACAATTCTAAAGTATATATAAATGTTAGTAAAGTTAAAAAAGACTGTTAGTAAAACGGGTTGCCTTCAGATACAAACAAAACTATTTCATTTCTTCCACCTTAAAGTAAATGACCTGTTTGAAAGAATGAAAAACAACATATGAGCCAAGTCACGACAAAACCATCATAAATGCCTAGTTTGCATCTGTCGGCTGAACAACTTTTAAAGACTTGTTAAAAGCGCAAGCCTCCCCTACAAATATGTCATCACACAGTTGTTTATTTCTGTTCATTATTGTGGTGTACACTGACGCAAAATTTACACCTTGTTCGACTGTGTATACTTTTTGCCAACCGTTCTTCAGTGTTTTGCATTTTTCATCATAATACCAGTCCGGATAACCATGCAGTAACATCGTTACAACTACAACCTTTCCGTCAGAGGTTACCTGAACACCTGGACTACCTGAAGCTCCCTTCCCTGATGCACAGTGAAACAGTAATCTATCTTTATTATCGAGAGTATTGTACGGACGCGTATCACATGTATGTACTGAAGGATCCTTATTGTTTCTCGAAACATACTCTCGGCTCTGTTGACGGAGCTTTTCAATATCTTCAATTGTCTTTGGATCATTTATATCAACCATTTTATTAACTTTATCAAACGCCTTCGGGTCGCCCTTTGAGTGCGTAATGAGAGTAAATGATCTGTCTAATTTCGGGATTCCGAAGTTGGTAAAATTAGGAGGGACGACTTGTCCCGGTTTTATGTCAAGTTCCAATACTATCACATCCGTTGCTTCATCTAGAAATGGAATTTCTTCCTCTGTTTTTATCCTTTTAAAGGTAAATTTATGGATGTCATGACTCGTCTGATTTTCTACTTCGAAATTAAAATCTATCTTCACATCAGAGTTACTCAAAACAGACAGATCGCAATCAAGACCTGTAAAGGAAATAATTCACACCGTACAATCAAATGGGCAGACAGCTGTTCCAGCGTCCACAGCTGTACCAGTATATACATGTTGGCGCGGGGAATACAATTGACGTACGATAAGTACTCATCTATTTTTAACATATCCAAACTGTGTTCGAGTAAATCAATGTTATGGATTCATAGTCAACATCCAAAGGAGCATGCTAACAAATTTCTGGCCATGTGCAAGCTTTACTTCACATGAATTTTGACTGAAAATAACCACACTATCCGATGAGATGCGGTATTTTTAGTTTGAAGTCACAAAAACTTTTTGTTTATTTTCTCAAGATAATTAATCCTTTTTTCATACGATTCGTAAACGTCAACATTTCGTCATTAAACATTCCAAACCATACCTTCAAAAAAGCTTTTTTGTTAAATTTATAAGGTATTTAAGTTTGAGTGTCATCAAAATTTTAGCTGTTCGCCACTTTTTAATGATAACATCGACAGCAATTCATCGGCAAGAACGAATAACGCTGAAAGCTGTTCAAAGAAACAATTACACGTATTAACAACAGCGCTTTTGTCATACAGTAACTAGGAAAGAGTAAAACTTTTTTGTTAATTTAGAATATTTCTTTATTCATGATACTTTCTAATTATATTATTTTTATTATTTCTTTCTATTATTTGTTATATCTTAGCTTAGAGACCTTGATCTCCATTTACCGCACTGTATTTCAATATAAAAAGGTAGCAAAATCTATTTAAGGGACTCCACTAAGGTTTTTTGACATGACGGGACTGGAAATAATTTTTTGAGATTATTTCTCCATTTGATGTAGATCTATAATTATAATTTATGTGCAAAATTTCCGATCATTAGCTTGCTCCGTTTTTCCAGAATATTATAATAGTGAAAAAATGACCCAAAAGTGAAAAGAGTTTAAACGCTTTTCACTCAAATCGGCCTGCGAAGAGCACAAACATATGATTTTCAATGTATTTCTCCTATATTTTTTGGTTATATTTTATTAATATTTATGTTTTAGTGCTCATGTTTTTCTATGTGAAAAAATAAAATTTCATGTTTTTAGGCTTATAAACCTCAGTGGAGTTCCTGTAATAGGTTTATGAAATGTTTAAGTCAAAAGGCAAAGGCAAATTTAACGCTTTATATGAATATTCAGTCTTGTAAATGAAGGCCTTCATCAAGTGTTACTAGTATTATAAATAAAGGCATATAATGGACAAGTCCTATGCAGTGACTGGCTGTGTAACCCGAGATATGAAAGTGCACGTAAAAACATGTTGTTATTTATCCTTGAAATCTGTTTTAATGAATAGTGCAATAGAAATAATAACCATTCTTAAAAATTATGTAAATTTTTATTTTTTAAATAAAATCATTTTATATTGCAGGCATTTCGGGTTACACATCCATTTACTGCATGGGACATGTCTACTATATGCCATTATTTATGATAACGCTTGATGGATTTAGTTATAATACAGAGAATTCGTATTAAGCGTTAAATTTGCCTTTACTTTCTTTGAATTTAACATTTCAGAAACATATTAATAGATCTTGCTACCTTTTTATATAATAATAATAATAATAATAATGAAAATAATATCTTTATTTAAAGAAGGTTATACATTAATAACATACAATAACAATCATATATATCTTATTTCCAATGTGGCATTCTGAAATAGAAAACAACAACAACAACAACAACAACAACAACAACAACAGGACATGCATAGGAAGAAAAATGAATGTATAATATGTAATTTTTAGAATATTACAACTCATATACTTTCTACAGACAATTTGTTTTAACATATACGTATATTGCATCATTCGTTCGTTCAATTATTCATTAATTAATTCATTCATTCATTCATTCATTCACTCACTCATTCATTCATATGAACAATATCAATATTGAAATACAGTGCGGTAAATGGAGATATAGGCCTCTCAGCTAAGATACAACAAATGATAGAAAGTAATAATAAAAATAATATAATTAGAAAGTATCATGAATAAAGTAATATTTTAAATGAACAAAAAAGTTTTACTTTTTCCTAGTTACTGTAGCACAAAAGCGCTGAAAATTGTTTCTTTGAACAGCTTTCAGCGTTATTCATCCTTGCCGATGAATTGCTGTCGATGTTATCATTAAAAAGAGGCGAACAGCTGATGACGTTACTAAAATTTTGATGACACACAAACTTAAATACCTTATAACTTTAACAGAAAAGCTTTTTTGAAGGTATGGTTTGGAATATTTAATGACAAAATGTTGACGTTTACGAATCGTATGAAAAAAGGATTAATTATCATGAGAAAATATAAGTTTTTGTGACTTCAAACTAAAAATACCGCATCTCATCGGATAGTGTGGTTATTTTCAGTCAAAATTCATGTGAAGTAAAGCTTGCACAGGGCCAGAAATTTGTTAGCATGCTCCTTTGGATGTTGACTATGAATCCATAACATTGATTTACTCGAACACAGTTTGGATATGTTAAAAATAGATGAATACTTATCGTACGTCAATTGTATTCCCCGCGCCGACATGTATATACTGGTACAGCTGTGGACGCTGGAACAGCTGTCTGCCCATTTGATTGTACGGTGTGTAATTTGTAATTTAAAATCGGGAAACACCAAACATAACGAAATGTAATGCACTGCTAACATCACAAAATGAAAGGGTTCAAGAAAATACAGGTCAATGTTAATTCAAGTTCAGAACAAATCTTGAATATTTGTAAATCGTACATATATTTGGTATGTCAATGTTATGTAACTTAATTGGTAGCATTTAGTGAAACATGTGCTTCATTTACACTGTTGTAATACGCCTTTTATGTTCCTTTAAAACCAGACTTCAATCTGCCTCCATTACATCTGTATGTATACAATGACCTTGACAGAGTATTTATGTATGTCTGTATGTATGCATGCGTGTGCGTGCGTGTATATGTTTATATATTATATGCATACATGCATGCCTGTATTTACCTTGTATACGTGTAATTTGTAAAAAAGAAATTTCAAAGCTAATATCAACACCAAACAAGGAGGTTTAAAATAAAATTAAAAAGAGGGCCATGATTGCCCTGGATTGCTCACCCGAGGTACATTGCTAGAAAACGGAACAGTCACAGTCAGTTATGAGTTCACATCGAGTTTGTCATTTTTTACCGAATAAGTTTAAGATGTCTTCTATAAAATGCTTCCTTACAAATTAAGCTCTTGGCATTGTAGTTTTACAAAAGGAAGACTAAACTGTATTTCATACACAGGTCTTTATATACAAGTCTAATAAAATAAGAGATCCCTAGGACAAGAACAGATTTTGACCAGAGGGGTATTAGTTAAAGAACTTTTGCATAGAACCTCAAGGTAATGCTACATGCCAAAGTGGTCCCCGGGGAGGAGTCAAATATGACCCCAGGAATATGTTTTATATATCTTTGGTAAAGAATCACAAGGTGAATCTCTACATGCCTTACAATTAAGCTCTAGGCACTGCATTTTTTGAGGAGCTACTATTACTATTCAAATCTATATAAATTACCTGATCCTCGGGCTGGATCAATTTTTTGTCCTCAGAGGCATGATCTTTATATATTTTGTAGAGGTCCACTGCTACATGCCAGTCTAAGCTCTGGGGATTTCAGTTTAATAAAAGAAGACTTAAATACATTTACCTATAAAGAACTTTGTAAACGTAATGACCCACAGGGCGAGGCAACTTTTGACCTAAAGGACATTATTTATATAACTATTATAGAGAACCACTAGGTGATACATGCCATATATTTTAAAGATTTCATTTTTAAAATCTATTTTAAGCTCCTTAGGCCTATTTATGTACCAGACTGAAAGTATTTGAATAACTATTGTTATTGGGACCAGGACTTAATGAGGCTTGTTTAAAATCAATCAAGTGGTTTAAGGGATGTTACTATTTAGGTAACGAAGAAAGACCAATAACCTGCCATTCTGAGCACTGCGTGCTCAGGCGTGATAAAATGATGCACATATTGACTATACTTATCTAAAATGATACAACTGTTGATCTCTTACCACTTGAAGGTTTTCTTTTCACGGAGATGAAATCTGAAAATGTTAATTAAAGAGTAACAGTAAACGAATATTAACATTGGCAGATCTATTTGTTATACATTGGCAGATATATTTGTTATAATCTATGTTACAATGAACAATTACAGAAGAATAAAGTTAACATGAAGTTTCACTTTCAATGCAGAATTTAATTAAATATATGATAGATTTTCACAATGTAAGAAACGTATTGTTTTTTGGAAGTTTCTGAAGAAATGCTCCTTTGAGAGCCTGATACGACCGTACAAGAACTATGCCTTTTACTTGAATTTATACAATCTCTCATGGGAAAGAAAAAACAAAACAAAAAGTTAATAAAAACATTGACTGACCATTGTAAGTATTGAGAATTTCTCTCACAGCATGTAATGTGGTCATTATATATTTGCTGCCTACTCTAAAGCATGTACAGTGGCCCTTTGGAAATTGTATCTGCCCTACCCATTTAGAACTCTCGCAAAGCGACCTTGTCTCAATAACTGGTTGAACATTCTCGTGTCCCCGTAGATCAATGAATTGTCCAGCGCCTGCGGTCTGTCCTAACATACTCCTGAATTCTTCTTCTTGTTTATAAGCTGTTGCGCTCGTGTATTCTGTAGTGAATAGGCTGGCTGGCTTTTCTGAAATATTTCCATTCAGGAATGATAAAAAAGAATAAACACACCGAAAATGTATAAATTGCAACTGAATTAAAAAATAATTAAAGTTTTGCATACATGCATGCATATACAGTTATACAGTTGACTCTCAGTAACTCGCTTTTCTAATAATTCGGCGAAAGTCTAAAAGTTCCGTCGAAATTCCTTCTTTAGCTATATATGTTAACCTCCCTCACATCAAAGTTTGACTATATAACTGAGATTCCGAAATGAAACCAGTCAAGTTATCAAAGTCCGGCACCATCATTGCAATAGATTATCCTTACTCGTTTACAAATGTCATGATTACTGCCGGTCGTCGTGTACAAAAGGCCACCCAGTTCAAATTACTGTTATAAGAACTAACTTGACAGGTAAAATAGAGGAAATAAAAGAAAACGACGACGTAATAAGGCGATTTTACGCATATAAACCAGCATTCTAACATCATCCATCCCTTCCCACGCAGTGAAAGGTTAATTACGGTCATCTTATACAAACGTCATATTCCCGCAAAGCTTATAATGTTTCAGTGGTGAGAAGAATTGATGAATGATATGAAGCGTAATAGGCATTATCATTTCAGTTTTGAACGCATTGTTTTAAATAATTTGGTTTGGACATTCGGGCAGTTACTGTCAATAATATAAGTTGCACAACGTCACGACTCCGGTTAGGCCTGTTTACAACATAAAAGGTAAAACAAAAAATATGACATACTAGTGGCTGCTGTCTTAGGTTGAGTTATAACTCCATTGTTGTAAATATTTATGTTCTTGGCGGCTTTAAACGATATTTTGCTACTTCCAATGGTTGTTTTGTTTCTAATATAGGTTACGTTTCCATCTTTGTCTATCTTCTTTTGTCGGCTCTTAGAAGTCCTACCTGTATCTGTAGAGACAGAATAAAATACATATAGTTTTGATATTCATACATTAGTCTTTGATGACCCTGACGTATAGCTGTATGAATTTAAAAATTGCATTGTATATTATATGTTTGTTTATTTGTTCGATTGGGTTTTACGTCACACAATATATAATAAAAATAGAGAAATATGTTTAGTTGTGTTCGGATTAGTTATATTAAAAGAGTACCTGTTTATATAACGGTCCATTAAAAGAGACAATTTATTGCTAGGCTAGAAGTCCAACCAAAACTCTTTTCAGACAAGCTTGATTGTTTCAAACATGATTGAACATAATGTTATATTACCATGAATTTTCAAAGATGGAGAGGAATTTTGCTTAAAAATCATTTGCTTATAAAACTGGGGTCCAGGAGTTAGATCTCGCGTCTCTAGATTCTCTAACTTTAATTACTGATGTCCCTTCAGATAAGGCATTCATTAAAAAGAGATCCTTTGTACATGGAATGTTTTTATGTTTATATCATGATCTATTTTGACATAATATAAATATCACATCCAGCTGTTATTTATCCTTTATATTATCCTGTTAAGGGTGAGGATTCTGTTTAATAACGCTCAATTGGATGTGATATTTTTATTGTCTAAGAGAGGTAAGCAATACAGAGCTGAATAATTACTAAGGGAGGTAACCGATAAAGAAGTAACCAAGTGAGATTACGGATTGCTACAATCTGAAGTCACATAAGGCCAAAATTTGAAGATGATAAAAAACATGTGAAGTATAATAATCTACTGTAATAATAATAGTAATAATAAATAACCGTCATCAGAAGAGCTTGATGAGCTGGACGAACTTGACGAACTGCTGTCACTACTGTCTGACCAGTATTTATGTTTCTTCTTCTTCTTCCTTCTTCTCTTTTTCTTATCATTTCTCCTCTTACCTTCTCCCTTTCGTTCCTTTCTTTTCTCTTTCGCCTTTTCTCCGGTCTCATTTGCCTTAAATTAATGATATGATATGAATGTACATTTGAATTTGAAGCATGATTAATGAAAACCGAGAGGAATCAAATTTTTACATCTAAGAGTATGGAGAAGCACTTTTTATCTGTAATCATTCTGGTAATTTTTAATGTAATTTTGACTGCTAGATTCATAAAATCTTTTTCGGCTTAAAACTGAAGCTTTTTTTTTACTTGCGAAATTTAAAAATGGTTTAATAAGTACGTATGTATACATTATTAAACTATTGTATTTGACCTACCTTTTCCTTGTTGTTGCCGATGTTTGGTGGGATATAGTTGTTGTTGCCGATATTTGGCGGGATATAGTTGTTTTGCTTCATGTTTTCTTCATCTCCTTTATCAAGTTCGAGCTTTATACCATTATTGATGGCAAAGTTTCTAACAGTCTCAGTATTTTCTGTCTGGGTAGGTTGCACACATTCTTTGCTTCCATTTCCTCGTTCAGGCCGATGTTTTTCCTCAGTTCGTTTATTATGATCCCTTCCGTTCTTTTCCTTGTGTTCTTCTTTCTTATACTGCGTTTTCTTTTTCGTCTTCTTGCAAAATTTGCTACACGATGTTCCCATAGTTTCTTTGTATTATATATTGTCACTGAAGCGTTAAAAATACGAAATGAATACTATGTTAGAAAAAAGTTAATATAAACGACCAACATATATTTATATATACACAGTTCGAAAATATATAACATTTGGAATAAACTTAGTCAACAACTACTAGCATCAAATTACTATTTTTTACATGTTTAGTTTAGTAGCGTAGGTAAGACCGAAATACCGCATCAGTTCTGTGTATTCATGCTATTGTATCCGAAGTTTGACGGAAATTTAAGGGTCGAGTAGAAATGCGATTGGACCGTGCCATATTAATATAAGCAAACAAATAAAACAAGTGCTTGTACAAAATATTGGTTTCAGTTTTTAATATTCAGGGGCGGAAAGGGTGTTGTCTATACAATTCAAACGTCTGTTGTATATGCACAGGAGCTTGAAATTCTATCAACAATTGAAAAAGATACATTGACAATTTATTATTATGTAATGCTTTGATTTAAATAGCCTTTATCAGCGGTTGTAAAAAGTTTAATTTTTATTGTGTATCGGATGATTAGATAATATTTGTATCGAGTGTACAAAATGCGTTGCATTCCTTGTCTATTTATTGTATAGAGGGGTATATTTGCTGATATTTCTTAACTATTTGCTTATATTTTTCAATTATTGATATAATGTCAAGCTCCTGTGGTATATGTAGCAAGATACTGTATGACGTAATATATATGTTACTGCACTATACTATCTTTTCTTTTGGGGAGTTTTAATACCAAAGGATCTTGGGTTCCGTTCGAGTCCTACTCGAGCCAATAACATATAAATTTCTTCACAAAGTCATGACACAAATAGAGTCTACTAGTTATTTTAAGAAGATGACTAAAATGACAAACATAATTTATTATCATTTGTTTTAGAATCGAGCTAAATAAATATGTTTAAACTAACAAAATAGTTGACCAAAAGATGAATTTAAGATTTCAGAAAAAATAAGTGTAGAGAAGACGAGACATAAAATTTCAGAACACTTGTTACTTACTCTTATCATACTATATCTCATCGTAAAAATAGAAAGTTGATAGTAGAAAGTCAGTGACAAGTTCAAAATGCTAACATACATGTGTATAAGTTAATATGCTTCATACACCTTTGTTTTAACTCACCTTTAGAAGCACTGCTAGTTGAATTTTCTTTTTCTACTTTCGCTTTTAAAACGAAAGTAGGTCAATAAACAAACGTTTAATAAAGCGAAATTCAAATCTCTAGTCTCAAATGGTTTTTCTCCATAGTTAAATTGTATTCTAGTGAATACCTTAATTTATTTTAAAAGTTTAAGGTTACACCGAATTCATCTCAGTCTATTAAGTTTATGCAATTAAATTTAAGGTTTAAAGTAAAACAAAATTGACAGCTACAGAAACACACGGAAGTTTAAGGGGATTTCCTATGACTAAGCGTATATCTTTTTCAACCCAAAGATAAATAAGAGCCGTAACTTCAGCATTATCATACCAAAGATAGCAAATGTTTTTAAAAGAGGGGAAAACGCATTGTTTTTAGCACGTTGATTGCCAAAATAGGGGGGGCGTCCGTGGCCGAGTGGTTAAGGTCGTTGACTTCAAACCACTTGCCCCTTACCGCTGTGGGTTCGAATCCCGACAGGGACTTTGGATTCTTTCATGTAAGGAAGCTATCCAGCTAGCTTACGGAATGTCGGTGGTTCTACTCAGGTGCCCGTTCGTGCCTGAAATAATGCACGGAAGGGCACCTGAGGTCTTCCTCCACCAGTAAAAAGCTGGAACGTCGCGATATGACCTATACTGTGTCGATGTGACGTAAAACCCAAAACAAAACAAAAAAAAAAATTGCCAAAATAGGGTGTAGAATATACATGAAGATAGGATAACGCGTTCTATAAATAAATCAGAAATGTAATGATCACTTCTCTGGAAAGTTAAACACACATGCACTTTCGAAAGTAAATGTAGTTATAACTATCGTATAGTCAGTTTCTTTATTCTAATTATGAAACGTTACGTCATTTTGACGTTAAGCTCATTATATACATAGGGGCTATTGTTTAATACTGAATTTATTGAACGAGTTGAATAAAATTATCTTATGCGAATATAATATTTTCTTAAATACTTATAAATGATAAATTGAGAAATATTGATGAAATAAAATGCGTATTTTCATTTTCCGTATTTTCAGTGTGTAAAAATATATTTTTCACTGCAGTGAAGAATATTTTCCGTACTTTCACTGGTCGCTTGTCTGACTACTTTCCTCTAAATTTGGCCAGTACACATAATGTAAGAGAGGTCTTTCAAATTGTAATGTCAAAAAAGAGAAAAATGAAAATAATAATCATTACAAAAGATGCAGTTTGTTAGAAGGGAGACACCTCTGGCATGTCATTATGTTCATATTTATACCAGTTACAATGTATCTCCCTTTACAAGTCAGGCTAATTTCCAACTTATAAACCAACCCTTTTTCTCCCAGGATATTTTCTTTCTGCTTTTTTTATTCTTTCCTTTCTATTTTCAGCTTTATTTAAGATGGATGTCATCAATAGTGTTCAAATGAAACGCCATAGCTGGATTTCACAATGCGACTGTTATTACAAATTTTGAGACAAGTACTTAGTAAAGCTATACTGATAAATATGTTTCCTATCTTCAACTGTCATATTTTTACGAGATCTGCATAATTTTTATAGTACTGTATTGATATCATAGAGGTTAGTATTACATTGTTAAACATGGTTGCAAAGCAAACCTACATTAAATCTTACGCTAGATTGTACTTTTTCTTTCAAAGAATATTTTGCTTTAACATAACGTTTCTCTTTATTGAGCTCTATGTATTTTATATGTTTATTGGCATATCTGAGCAGGATCCGTTGCTCTATATTCCGAGGAATAGTCTGAGAGAGTTTCCTTCGTGCATGCCAACGTATTCTACGGTTCCTATTTAATTTAGTAAAGAAAAAAGGGGTTTTACGTAGATGGCCAGTATTCCGAAGACGAATATATGAGAGTAATTGTTCTGATTTGATATACACTGGACATTGTAAGGCAGTTTTGATCATGATATGCTTGACAAATGAGACGCGTCATGACAAAACCAACATAATGGGTTTGCGATCAGCATGGATCCAGACCAGTCTGCGCATCCGCGCAGTCTGATCAGGATCCATGCTGTTCGCTATCAGTTTCTCTACTTGTTATAGGGTTTGTAAGCGAACAGCATGGATCCTGATCAGGCTGGTCTGGATCCATGCTGGTCACAAACCCATTATGTTGGTTTTGTCGTGACGCGGCTCAAATGTATTTCCCTTTGTCCTTACATATAAACTCATGCATGGCTGTATCTCTCTTTTCAAAATGTAACTTATTTTTATTGATTATATCTGTAAAACAGCGCGTCTTAACGCTATGTTTGTGTAACGCAAATGACGTCACATCAAAATATAAGCACGGCCATGGAGTACCAAAAGCGGTACGGGTATGTGATAAATGCGTCAATGACAAATGGTTATTTTTTGCTTCAAATGCTCTTTATTTTTGGTATGTGATAAAAAGAATATTATATTCGTGTAAGTTCATTACTTAATCTATTGAACTTGATGAATAAAATGATATAATATCATCAACACGTCCAATAAACTCAATATTAAAGTACACTTATTCAATATTCTCTATGTACGTAACGTTAATGCGTTCGTATCAATCGTTATTTCGAGCAACGACCTCAATACACCCAGGAAATCAGACTTGAAACCTTCACAATAAAGTTAGAATGTATTGAAATTAAATTTCAGCCCTGCATCTCAACGTTTGTAGTCTCAAAAGTTTATAATGCATTTTTTATGATTCTTTTTTTTTTTGCCACTCTAAAATTAAATTTAGTGACTGTAAACTATCACGTTACCTCAATAAGTTTCTAAAATAATATAATACCTCACATGAGTATATATTATTTATTGGACGAGTTGAATCAAATGATATTATGCGAGCATCTGGCAAGCACAAAACTGTTTTATAAAGAGTCCAATAAATTCAGTAATGAACTTACACCAATTTAATATTCTATTTATCATATACCAAAAATAAAGGCTGTTTGAAGTGAAAAAGAACCAATTTTTTATTGATGCGCCTATAGAGTAACGCTAACATTTTTCACGTCTTAACGCTATTTTTGTATAACGCTAATGACCTCACGTCAAAATATATACACGGTCGTGCAATATCATATTTACGGAGTCGCAAAAACGGCAGGGGAATGTGATAAACCATAATTTGAAAAATAATCTTGTTTCAGCCTCTTATTGGCATGTGTTTTATGTATGCTATTAACAATAATATTTACATATTTATTATATGACAATAATATACATGTAATTTTATGATCAAATTTATTTGTGATATTTAATAAATCACATGATCTGTTCTGTTCATTTATCAATAGGAATCAGAGGTCCAGTTGTTAAATTATGAGAGGAACGGTAAAATATGATTTTTATAAACGCTGTATGTAGAATGCCAGTGGGTATGCTGAACACCGGCGATCTCTCGTATAAACAGTCCACCTATCTTATCCAGACTCTGTAGACCGAACATGTCTTCTTTATACCACTGAAATATATCATTTTATTACATGATATTCAGTATAGACAGTTCACTATAGCCGAACAACATTTATATTTCGAATGCGGATGAAAACAAAACAAAATAATTGAAATTTCGTCCGGAATAAACTTCGACTTAAGTAAATTGTACATAAATACGGGAAAAAAATAAACAACTGTACAAATAAAGCTATCCCTAAGAGATATACAGTCTAAAAGATTTAATTCAGCTCTATTGAAAATGAGAATTAGTCCTTTTTTATTAGTCTATATAGTATTGTGTTTATTTACTAAGATGAAGATGCGTGAAGTTTAAAACGGTGTTAACTATACCTGTTGGTTTTTTATTTCTACAATGTTTAGTTTCTCGTCGTAGAATCCAAAATGACTGTAAAAAGGAAAAACAACAACACTTTATTGTATACTGTTTTAAGGGACATATATAAGTTTGTTTTATTAAAAATAAATCTACTTAAGGTTCAATATAATAGCGGAAATAGTTATACAATTTATCCACTGCATGATCTCATCATAATTATAAAAACAATCATAGCAATATAGACCACAAGTCAAACAATTTGTGAACTTGACCTTAAAAGATTTACCTTGATTGCCACGGTGTAATAACACCATCATCCTTACCTTGATTGCCACGGTGTAATAACACCATCACCCTTACCTTGATTGCCACGGTGTAATAACACCATCACCCTTACCTTGATTGCCACGGTGTAATAACACCATCATCCTTACCTTGATTGCCACGGTGTAATAACACCATCACCCTTACCTTGATTGCCACGGTGTAATAACACCATCACCCTTACCTTGATTGCCACGGTGTAATAACACCATCATCCTTACCTTGATTGCCACGGTGTAATAACACCATCATCCTTACCTTGATTGCCACGGTGTAATAACACCATCACCCTTACCTTGATTGCCACGGTGTAATAACACCATCACCCTTACCTTGATTGCCACGGTGTAATAACACCATCACCCTTACCTTGATTGCCACGGTGTAATAACACCATTACCCTTACCTTGATTGCCACGGTGTAATGATTGCCACGGTGTAATAACACCATCACCCTTACCTTGATTGCCACGGTGTAATAACACCATCACCCTTACCTTGATTGCCACGGTCTAATAACACCATCATCCTTACCTTGATTGCCACGGTGTAATAACACCATCATCCTTACCTTGATTGCCACGGTGTAATAACACCATCATCCTTACCACCAATCATTACCAATCTTTTCAGACGCAGGAAATTTTCTTTGTACTCTGAATTGTCAATAAAAGATTAATTACATATCATGTATTATGCTTTCATATTTTTGTTGTTTATATTATATATGGTCATGATGGTGTCGCCCTGTTATGTATCGAGTCGCGAGCCGTCGTGGTCTAAAAAGTAGTTCTTTGGAATTTCCCAATTTCGCGGTGATCAGAATATGTGGTGACGTTTCTAGCGACTTTTAAAGACATTGTTAATGTGTATTTTGCAGGTCCTTATTTCTGGGAGGAATGTCTCAATAGATATATCGCACCAAATGGTACACAATTGTTACATAACTATATAGTGATTATACAAATTAAAAGTTTTAAGAAAATATCAAGGATAAATATTTATATTTTTGTGCTGATATCTGTTCCATGAGACTGATTTACTATAAAGTACATGGAGCACTATTATAGTAGGCGGACACCATATTATGATTATTTTCACAATTGGTAAAGTAAATTGGTTAATTTGGAAGATATACTTAGAAATTATAATATTTCTACGTTCATGTTTAGAGATCATGTTCGCTTGATAATTTCTCACACTATGATTCATACAGTTCCTTTGAATTCGTCTTTAATTGCAATTATTTTAAAGCCTTGCATTAAAATTTTTGGATGGACACAATTTTTATAAATGTTTTTTACTTACGCACAAAGAATAACTATAAATTCGTTAACAATGTATTTTAGATCATAAACCTTCTGTTTTGAAAACTATGCAAACTATGATGAATATTATGAATAATCAGTATATTTTTTTGAACCGACCTTTGCTGTTTATGTTAAAAGTGTCGTTGTTTAACACTGCCAGAAATTTGGAATTTTCCTTATATAAGTCCTGATGATGCGGATCTGAAACAATAGAAACATGCATTGACTGTAAATCCACGAAAGGATATTTTAAACATTACGAAAAGGTATTGCTGGAGAATAATGTCGCCCATACGGAAGCACTGAGTGGATATTCCGATTTCATTTTATTTTCCTATCTCGTGGCCACGAAATATAACTCAGAAAAATAAATCGCTATCTCGTGGCCACGAGATATAACTCAGAAAAAAATGCTATCTCGTGGCCACGAGTTATATATTGGAAAAAACAAAACAAAAAACAACAACAAACAGAAATTCGCTATCTCGTTGCCACACCAGATATAACTCAGAAGAAAAAAGTGCTATCTCGTAACAACGAGATAAGGATTGTTTGTTGTATTTTTAGTTGTATCTCGTGGGAATGACATAGCATTTAGTTTTTCGTTTTTTTCTGAGTTACATCTCGTGACCACGAGATAGGAAAATAAAATCAAATCGGATTGTCCCCTCTGTGCTTCCTTACGCCCAGCATTTTGAGAGAACAACTTTCGCAAGCTATTGATAAATGAATTATAATTAAATGAAGGTTTAAGATTTCTTTTTAACTTTTCATAAATTATCATTTCCGGTATCAAAATTACCTAACATATCAAATCTTTATTTAACTTTGTAATGATATACTACTCGTAAATACATATGGAACATCTTATATTTACAAATATATATATGTAAAATGTGTACCGTACCATTCCAATAATTTCCGACTGATATATTTTGACCGTCTTTAGAGTAAGCTATCCTGGAAGAAACAGTCATTTAATTACATTATGTACAGAGCTTCTTCAGGGCGGAAAGACCCTAGAACAAAACACGAAAAACAAAATACGACTTGTCATCTTTTTGTCTGTTTGAATTTTATCAACTTTTAACAAAACACAGCATGTGGTTCAAACACATAACTGTGAACATGCAAATATATTTCTGATTTGATTGATCAAATAGAGCTTAAGAAATAAATCCTGAAACTCTGTACAGTCAAATCCTGTAGACGCATGAAATGATTAATTTCATGTTTGCATACATTTCTTTGACATTAAAAGAGAATCATTAAATTTTGTTTATGTTATTTATTGCAACAAACATGTGCAGCAAGCATGAATTTTTTGTCTGCTGTTTCAAAAATTATAACATTGTTTTTTTTATCCATACTTACTTGTACACATTGTCGCGAAGAACGTGCGGGAAAATATATTTTATGTAGTCGGTATCTGAAAATAGAAATCAAAACTTTAACTGGCAAGGTAGGAGAGTGTTTCTTATAATCCAACCATAAAATTAATGGTTATAAAGTTTATATTATTATTTATGTAAATAAGTAATGTTAATATATTTTATTTTGTATGTGTTATGCCTTGAGCATGGTGGCCGATAGCGTCCATTCAAATGCTGCTAGAAATTTTACCGTCGGTTTATAAAATGTTGCGGGCAACTTTTAAATCCGCGAGTTTTTATGTCGAAATTTATAAAATGTCGCGGCTTTTAGAAACTCTTTAGTTTTTCTGTTACACTTCTGTCGTAAAAAGTCAAGTTTTTATCTACATAGTAGACTAAGCTACGCAAACATATGCCTACTTTGGTTTGGGAAGCCGATTGCGGCCATTATAATCCACGATATTTGCTTTTGATGCATACCTTGTAAAAAGTCGAGTTTGAGCATTAAGCCTCGACTATTTATGCCGGAAAATGTCTCTGCACAAAAAGTCGCGGCTGAAAAGTCGTGCATTTTCCCCGGGAAATTTTTATGGAAATACGTTGTATAAGAACAAAATCCGCGGCCTTAAATTTTCCCCCTCGACTCTTGAGTTTTTACAACAATTGCAAAATATGTCGCGGATTTCTTTCTGTTCCTCGACTTTTTTTGATTTTATTGACAAACAAGAGATAAAGTGAAGATTCAAACCATGGACGCTACCGGTCACTGGAGTCAAAATGTTCCTTGCTGTTTCCAACAACTGTTATAAAATTTCGAGGTTTACGTTCACCGCAACATTTTGTACGATTTCAGCAGAAAGTCTCGCAGATTTTTTAGTTGCCTACAACATTTTATGATGAAATGTTAAAATTTCTCGCGGGTTTGAAATGGCCGCAACAGGCCACCACACTTGAGCAACACTTTAAGATTATACAGGTTTATTGAGATACTGGAATAAAAAATGGACCCCCCCCCTTTGGGCTTATCAAGGTGAGATATGTAAAGTGCTGACACGTTAATGATATTTCTGGATGTAAGGATTCGCTCTTACAGGGATAGAACCAAATATATCAAATCACGTGACAAACGACCAGGTCATTCCTCCATCGTATATTTCAAAATATTCCAAATATTATCTACCATTGTGTGAAAACTACTCAAGTACATGTTTATGCGTTCATTGCCATTAATATCTAAAAAAGAACAATACATAAGACATAAAGTATTGCTGACAAGTGATTTAAAGTTGATTGATAAAGTGCACTCAAATACGCGTATAATTACCTCCAAATTGTCCGGCTTGCGGAGAGCTTAATGAAATAAATGTGTCCACATTATGTTGATTTTGCTCTAACACGCCCCGACAAACAAGACCACCTGTCAATAAAAGACAGATATATCTATTTAGATCTACCAGATACCACTTAAAATGAAGGAGCCGGATATAAAGCTAGATATACTTCCCTGAAAATTTCTTTAACGTTTGCAATGAAATAAGTATGATTATAACGTCACATGGTGCAGTACCAAAGCAGGTTATTTTAAAAGTTTGAATAAAGTAAGGAAAATATTTTTTAAAGAGTAAAGGTAAAAATTTCCTTAATTCGAAAATTGAACATTAAAGATCAATGTCATATTTCGATAACTCAAGATGAAGTTTATGAATTGTGCCCTTGTATGAAAGATTAACTTGAGAAAGTCAAGATTAAAATTTTGCACAGTCAAACGATAGACTTGCAGACGATAGACCAGCATACGGTAGACTTGCAGACGATAGACTTGCAGACGATGACTTTCAAAATATAGACCTGCAAACAAACAAAAGACAAACATTGCAAAAGTGATATACCATGATTGATCGATTCAGACATAAACATTCTAATTTTGTTACCTTGTGAGAAACAGATAATATTAACGTCCTTCGGGATGTTGTTGCATGAATTTCATCATAACTTTCCCGACT